TTGGCTCAGGTCATGATCTCATGGTTCGTGGATTCAAGCCCTGCGTTGGGCTCTGCGCTGACAACGTGGAGCCTGCTTTGGATTACCTCCCTCCCTCTCTCCCTCTCTCAAAATAAATAAATAAACTTAAAAAATTTAAAAAAAAGAGGAAAGAAAAGAAAAATACTGGATCAAAACAAAGGTCTTTTTTTTGTTTTAAGTGCAGGACTTCTTGACAACTTTATTGATGGATCTTGTGTGCATGTGAATATCCAAGGATATAATCTTCAACATCCACCTAATATCCATGGAATTTTGTGTGAAACATACATACAACACTAGCTTATCTTAGGATACAAGTGCTCTTAAGAACAGGTTGGGAAATGATGGACTAATTTTCAGTCATTCTTTTAGACTCTTCACTCTCCACTAAGCTAATTTTAACTTGAAACAACTCTGCAGTATAAAAACACTGACCCATTCAATAAATTTCTGTGGGACCACTATTACTAAACAAGAAAAAATATCCTTAGTGGGCCTACTCATGTGAGTCTTTTTAGGGCGTTAGACAGTGGATCGTGGGTTGGAGGTGGGGTGGTGGTGGTGGAAAGCAGCATAGGACGGGTGGTTACAGAATTCTAAGTCCAAACCTGAACTTGGGATTGAGGGTGAGGCAGAGAAAAGGGGAGAAAGGACCTTACTTACAGGAGTAACAGCAGATGCAAAAGACTGAAAAAGAAGTGATCATGGAACTGGAGGCATGGAAAAAGGACATCATCATGAAGAGCTTTGTAAGTCCAGGCTAAGAAATTTACATTTAAAAATTTAGACAAGAGAGTGCCTTCTCTGCACTTTAGAAAGCAAGTGAATTGTAGGAAAACAGATTGCTTTTATTTCCTTGCTTGTTTTGGGAGGTGGATGCAAGGCAGAGATAAGATGTAAATTCCAGAAAATATCAACCCAGAAAGATGGGAGTAATGTGAACATAGGTAGAGGTAGTACAGACAGAATTAGGCAGATCTGAGAAATATTTAGGAAACAAATAATACAACTTAGTGATTGACTGCTTGTGCAAAGCTATAGTGAGAGTCAAGAAAACCTGAGGCACCGGCTTGGGTAAGTGAGTAGACTCCAATGACAACACAGTAGGAAGAAAAAGACAAGGGCTCAATTGTCAGCTTAATATAAGGTGATCATGATTTTTCTGGTGAACACTGCATCTCAAATTCCTCATCTGTAAAGGGCGACATTAGCTATTTTACAGTTTTAAAGCTGTAAAATACATAAAGCTAAAACATGTTTATTTTTGTTATGACACTTGTGGAGCCAAAGTCTGTTTCAATTTCTCCTTTTCCGCTTTCCCAAACACAACAGTCTTGATGATTCAGCCTTTAGATATCTCAACCCTGTGCCCTATTTCCCCCACTTTCTCTAGGATATTACTGTACCTTCTCACTTCAAAAAAATAACTATGATAGTCTCTTATAACCAATCTTCCAAAAATACTGTTTTCATAACACTTCCCATTCATCGACATCTTTTCTGGCTCCTAAATAACTATATTAAACTCATCCAGATTTCTTACTCTAGCCTCAGAGTCTTAAAGTCAGTCTCACCCTAACTCTTCAATCACTCTCTCACTTTTACACTGAAATCCTTCATTCAAATCAAAACAGGATTCTGGCCTGTTCACTAAGCATACACAGTCCACTACCTATCTGGGCTCTATTCAAGCCTCCTAGTTTACTGTTTTCTCCCACTTGAATTGTATTTATCTTTCTACGTCTTATCAATAAAAGGCCCAAAGTCTCTGTGATAGCCTTTTAATGATTCCAGCAACATGTTTATCCTTGGAATGTCCAAAGTATTCATTCTGCCTATATCATTTCCTTAGCAGCTGGCTAAAAGCTTTGCATCAGTGCTTTATACATGTCTTCCATTATCATAAAGATACATGAAATCACACACAAAAAAATTGATATAATTAGTACTACTATATTTCTAAAAATCTAAAAGGACAGAAATAAATGTATGCAAAAAAAAAAGGATTTCATCCCACTTGGCAACTGTAGACATTATTGATTTAGGCATACAGAAATAAATTTATATATATATATATATAAAGAAATAAATTACATAGTACTTGATTTGCTTGTACCGGCCTGTGGCTCTTTTTTGCACTAGTCACACACGTCAACAGTATAAGATGAACATAATTTCAATTTTCTCTGAGTTCATTCTCGAAAAAGTAAATTAACAATTAATTTTAATAATACTATTTTATTTAATGCTTACCCATATCCGGAAGCGGACGTTGGCTGTGGTCAGATTCTAAGCTCGACTTCGGACCAGGTCCGATCATCCTGGATCGGGGAGTTAAACAGTGAAGACTCTGGGCCCACTGATAGCTATTCAGGAGCCTGAGGACCTGTTTCGATTCTGTCTCCCCTCTCTCTCTGCCCTCCCGTTCATGTAACTGCTCTCTCTGTAAAACCAAATAAAAATAAATAAAGTTGAAAAAAAAAAATTAAAAAAAAAAATACTACATATCCAAATGTTACATTTCTATACTAAGATTTAACCATGACAGGTATTTAAATTTTTTCATAACCTCATTTATTTTTATTTTTTTAATATGTGAAGATTCCGACTTTGCAGATTAATGATCTCATGTTCATGAGTTCAGTCCCTGGAGCTTACTGCTGCAAATATGTCACAAAGAACCGCCGGGATCCTCTGATTCCCCCAGCCCCACTTCATTCTTCCACAACTTCCCATGTATACCATTATATAAAAAAATAAATAAATATTAAAATAAATATATAAAGAGTGATATAACTGACACATAACATTATATCAGTTTTTTTATTTTTTAATGTTTATTTATTTTTAAGAGAGACAGAGAGGGAGAGGGACACACGGAACATGAGTAGGGGAGGGACAGAGAGAGAAAGGGAGACACAGAAACTTTAGCAGGCTATAGGCTCTGAGCTGTCAGCGCAGAGCCTGAAGCAGGGCTCGAATCCACAAACCGTGAGATCATAACCTGGGCTGAAGATGGGTGGTCAACTGACCCAGCCACCAAGGAGCTCCATATTAGTTTCATTTGTACAACATAGTGGTTCAGTATTTGTATACCTTGTAAAATGATCACAGTAAATCTAGTTAACATCTATTACCCTTACATGACTGCAAAAAAATTTTGTAAGGAGAATGTTTAAGATTTATTCTCAGCAACTTTCAAACATGCAATATGGTATTACTAACTGTAGTCACCATGCTGCACATTATATTCCCATGATTTATTTATTTTATACCTGGAAGTCTGTACCTTTAGACCCCCCCCTTCATTCAATTTACATCTTATTTTTTGTACTATGTATTAAAAACATATTGTACATTTTACACTTACAGCACATCTCAGTTCACACTAGCCATATTCAAGTGCTCAAGAGCCATTTATGTCTAGTGGCTACTATAGTGGATCATACAGAGCTAGTATATTTAAAACTAAAATGTATAACCCACAATTTACTTATAACTTACTTACATTTTTGAGATAATTGACAAATTAATTTCAGATATACAACTTAATTGAATACTTGTATATATTACAAAATGATCACCACAGTAAATCTAGTTAACAACTAATTTGTTTATATATTTTGTTT